ACTGCATTTATCAGTCACTGAAAGCCAGAGTATTATTATATTACTATGAAATCAGAATATATTCAGTGATTTTTTTTTCTACTTCGCATATTTGATTGAATTTTTAAAAATAAAATTATTTATTAAATAAAATTCAATCACTATTTTAACATTTTTGTTGCAAATTTAATTACAAACCACAACTTATTCTTGCTTTCTGTGATTGATTTGCAGTTTATTATTTAATTTTATGAGAACAGAATAAATTCAGTTTATATACTTTTATTTTCCATGTTAAATCTGATTTAACATTTTTATTTAAATTTTAATTACAAACTAACTTATTGTGGCTCTGTGATTGATTACTGAATTTATATTCTGTTCTCATAAAAATATTGCAATGATAAACTGCGAATGTCACTGTTATTTTTTGATTTTGCAGATTCAATTGTGCAAAACAAAAATCATATTTTATCATTTGTATTTAAGTTAATTACAAACCCTGAATTATTTTAGCTTAGTGATTGACACAAAGCTTATCATTATACCAATTATATGAGAACAGAATTTAAATTCAATCAGTGTTATTTGCAAAAAGAAACCAATGAGAAAACACTGAATTTTAAATAGGATTTTTTATTTTATTTTTATTTTTATTTACAAACACTGACTTATTTTTGCTCAATGATTGACTTAAGCAGTTTAACATTATAATAGTTATATGAGATCAGAATACAAACTCTATAATCAGTGTTTTTATTTTGTTTTGCACATTCAATTGTGCAAAAAACAAAAAGGAAAAAACTTTATCTTTAATTTCCTTTTTCACGTCAAACTGAGCCTCGAGCGGCATCTCTCCACTCACCGAGGTCCACTGCCAGCTCTGGCGGGAGAACGCGAGGGATGTTCTCCAAGAGCCCGCCTCCGGTGATGTGGGCGTAGGCCTTCACGGCTCCGCTGCGCAGGATTGGCTGAAGCAAACGGCTGTAGATCTTGGTGGGCGTGAGCAGGACGTCACCTGCAGACCACAGTGCAGATGTGAGGACTCAAACACCAGGGCTGCGACAATATATCCATGCATCGAGAAATGAGAAATTATTCTGGATCGATTCCAATTTTTACGAATGATTCTCTCTCGAATCGATTCTGAGTTTAGTTTTTAACAGATCGATTCACACACACACACACTAGTTTTTCTCTCGCCGCTGAAACTGCTCTCTCTCGGAAGCTTTGAGTTTAAAGAGCTGATAAAATATTTCAACTCAGATCAATATTTCGTGTCTAATTATTTACTTTTGTGGCAAGCAGCCTGTAATAAGCGGGATAATGAACATCCAGACAGTTGTTATCTCAGAATAAACCCCTTCAGGTGTGTGTGTGATCTCAGAATAAACCCCCTTCAGGTGTGTGTGTGTGTGTGTGTGTGTGTGTGTGTGTGTGTGTGTGTGTGTGTGTGTGTGCGTGCGTGCGTGTGATCTCAGAATAAACCCCTTCAGGTGTGTGTGTGTGTGTGTGTGATCTCAGAATAAACCCCTTCAGGTGTGTGTGTGTGTGTGTGTGTGATCTCAGAATAAACCCCCTTCAGGTGTGTGTGTGTGTGTGTGTGTGTGTGTGTGTGCGTGCGTGCGTGTGATCTCAGAATAAACCCCCTTCAGGTGTGTGTGTGTGTGTGTGTGATCTCAGAATAAACCCCCTCGGGCTGATGAAGACCTGACCCTGATCACCCTGTCGGGTTTATTCTGAGAGAACAACCGGCTGGATGTACATTATCCCTTACTTATTGTTTCATGCGTCTTTTTAGAGCTGCTAACTCCATTTCGTTGATGTGTACTACTGTGTGCATACAATGACAATAAAGATTACATTTATGCATTTGGCAGACGCTTTTACCCAAAGCGACTTACACTGCATTTCAAGCTACACATTTACATTCTTATCAGTTCTTGCTTTCCCTGGGAATCGAACCCATGACCTTGGTGTTGCAAGCGCCGACGCTCTACAGTTTTGAGTTTTTAAAATCGATTTTCCATGTTTAAAGACGTTTCCATTTTCAACACCAAATACAGGCAAATCCACGGACACCTAACAGGCATTAGGACGAGCGTAAAGAGGGCGTAAGTCAGCAATATTCCTGATGATTTATTGGTGTGAAGTTTCAGCACAATGACAAACAGGAGCGCAACATTCAGGGATTGAGATTAACTCCTCGACCCGCCGAATGCGGGTATAAATGAACTTTGGCGGGAAACGCTGTCAAATCACGAGCCAATCTGGCGTGTTTCTGTGTTTACTCACTTTGCTGGGAAGTTCGTGTAAGACAAATCTGCGCGGATTTAGCGCAAATACGCAACTCGTGATCCTCATGATATATTAAATACAGCAGAATCTGCGCATTTCTGGCTCACTTGAACACACATGTCACTACGCAACACATAATGGTGCGCTTGTTCACTTGCATTAAAGTAATTGCGAATATTAAAAAGCATTTGGTGAACAGAAAAGACATTGTTATTTTCCAGCATCCTACATGTTCTGTGTGCTGTATTGATCTGTCCACCTAAAACACATTTTTGGTTAAAGAAAAAAAAAAAGGCTGTTAAAATCGATTCCCTATTTTCGTTTTCGAAACTTGTGTTGGTTGGTCCGATCGATTTTCGAACGTAAAGTGACCGCCCTATCTCGGACTCGTCATACCGATGCTCTGTCCCGGGCGCCCGAACGGCGCCGGCGAGCCGTACTGCAGGTCGAGCCGCTCCAGGACCGTCCGCACGAGGCTGAAGCCGTTGCTGTGGAGCCCCGACGAGGCCACGCCGATGAGCAGATCTCCCTCCGCGATGTCCCTGAGTCTGGGCAGAACGGCCCCGCGCTCCACGGCCCCCACGCAGAAGCCCGCCAGATCGTACTCCCCGGGGCCGTACACACCCGGCATCTCCGCCGTCTCTCCTCCTGCACACACACACACACACATCTGAGCGAAGCCTAAATCACACACAGATTTCTGCATCAAAACAATTAATATACAAACATGCAAAAATATTTGTTTGTTTACTCGATTCATTGTGCATTGTTTCTGTCTCATGGCGGAATTATAAATAAATATAATAATTATATATATATATGAAGAGTTTGGTTCCAAAACGCAATAAATCCATTTAGATTAATTTGAGTAAAAATTTGTTTTCTTTACCAAGAAAGTGGAAAGATGAAAACCACTATTTTCTGTTTCAAACTTTCACATAGCATTTGTAGGTCATAATAACAAAAAAAAAAAAATCCAGGTTTTGATTTTCAAAGATTTATTATAAAAACGGATTATTTTTTCCCCCAAAATGCAACAAATCCATTAAAAAAATAATCAAAATGCAATTAATCCATTGAATCAATATAAAAGTTTTTTTTTTCATATTGAAACTGTTGAAAATACACAACAACGTAAGTTTATTAGTATAATATTTTTATTAAGAACTGTAAAGAAGATTGAACACATTTTTCCTCCTCCCGAGTGCCTCGTCTTCTTAATCTCCTCACGTAAATGATTCGATTTCGATGCCTTACGTTTCTCACCCACCGCAGAAACAATCACAGGTTCATCAATGCCCTCAAAATTATTCATTTTTTTTGTTTGTTTGTTGATCGAAAAGTACAAAATAGATAAGAAGAACTAGGAAGCCGGGTGTATTTAAGACGCTGCCGTTACTGTTTACATTGCGTGGAATGCTGCGTTGTGATTGGTTGAGAGTGGAATGGTGCGTTGTGATTGGTTGAGAGCGGATGTATCGCATTCTGCAGAGAAGGGAGACTGGCGTTTGTCGCGGTTTGGAAAGAAAGGAAGAAAACATGACAGAATAACACGGCGGATATCGCATTTTACTTAAAATTAAACATTGACTTTTCAATACCAACCAGATACAATACTGATCTTTGCAGAAACTATTTTTTTTTTTAAATGGCGTTTATCGCGTTTTGGAACCAAACTCTTCATATATATATTTTTTTAATCATTCTGAAAATAAATAATTAATTAACATTACGTCCCATGTGTAGGACTCATTTTTTTGTATACAAGATCAGTATAAAGAGTTATTTTGATCGTTTATAAAAGTCAGTATAAAACGAAATAAAGTTCCATGTATAAGACTCATTTTTGCATATAAGATGTGTGTGTGAGACGATGAGTGTGTGTGAGACGATGAGTGTGTGTGTGACGATGAGTGTGTGTGTGACGATGAGTGTGTGTGTGACGATGAGTGTGTGTGTGACGATGAGTGTGTGTGTGACTGACCTATCAGCGCACACCCGGCCATCTGACAGGCGTCTGCGATTCCTCCGATCACAGACGACGCGACTCCCACGTCCAGGCGTCCACAGGAGAAGTAATCGAGGAAGAACAGCGGCTCCGCTCCCTGAGCCAGAACATCGTTCACACACATCGCCACCAGATCCTGTCCCAGAGTGCCGTGCAGGCCACACGCCTGAGCCACCTACACACACACACACAGATGATAATCCGGTGTCACTGAAGCATCGTGTCGGTTACACCCTAAATCGTAGACACACACACACACACACACACACGATGATGATGATCTGGTGTCACTGAAGCTTCGTGTCGGTTCACACACTACCTTCAGTTTAGTTCCCACTCCGTCTGTTCCAGACACCAGGATCGGGTCGATGAATCCGGCAGCTTTCAGGTCGAAAAGCCCCGCGAACCCGCCGAGCTCCGCGTTACAGCCTGAACGCAGACACACACACACACACACACACACACATGCTGAAGATAACTGCTGAAGATGTCATTAGTAGCTAGTCATTAATAACTTAATGACCCAACACTGGTTGTGAAACACACACACACTCTCTCTCTCTCTGTCTCACACACATTCTCTCTCACACACACTCTCTCTCTCTCACACACACACACACCTTTAATAGTTGAGGTTAGTGATTTGAACAAATCTCCTCTCACACCATAAACAAGTTCATAAGCGTATCACGGTAAATGTGGTTTTGTTTGTAGTTTGAGTGACAAGCTGAAAGTATTGTTCTTATAACCGACAGCTTGTTGATTGATGGCGTTAGTGGCTTTGAACTCAATACCTTCCTGTCAGAAGAGTAAACCACGAGTACAGACACATCAATCAATCACTCAATGAATGAGAAAACACAAAAACGGAAAAAACACAATTATGAGGCTGTGTGAAACTGGAACATCAAGCGATCTGAGACGTCACCTGGTCGAGACGTGGCCTTCGCCAGAGGTTTGATCAGCTCCACGAGTCTGTTTCCAGCGGTGATGTCCACGCCACTGTCTTTATACGTCAGTCCTCTGTGGGACAAACACAACGGTCAGCTGATCGAAATCACCAAATCATGCTCTGTGCAGATTAGCAGCACTGATCACACAAACACACCACCATGATGCAATAATTTCCCTGTTTAAACCATAAAGATTTCACCGTTTAAAGTGATAGTTCACCCAGAAAATGGCTCTTCCAAGCTTTATAATGGCAGTGAATGGCCGTTTCTGTTTTGAAGTCCATAAAAGTGCTTCTGCCCATCATAAAAGTGCATCAACGGGTTAAGGTGTGAAACGGGTTACGGTGTGTGTGAACGGGTTACGGTGTGAACGGGTTACGGTGTGAACGGGTTACGGTGTGGACGGGTTACGGTGTGAACGGGCTACGGTGTGAACGGGTTACGGTGTGTGTGAACAGGTTACAGTGTGGACGGGTTACGGGTGTGAACGGGCTACGGTGTGTGAACGGGTTACATTGTGTACGGGTTAGGGTGTGTGTGAACGGGTTCCGGTGTGAACGGGCTACATTGTGTACGGGTTAGGGTGTGTGTGGACGGGTTACGGTGTGAACGGGTTACGGTGTGAACGGGCTACTGTGTGAACGGGTTACGGGTTACGGTGTGAACGGGTTACGGTGTGAACGGGTTACGGTGTGAACGGGTTACGGTGTGAACGGGTTACGGTGTGAACGGGTTACGGTGTGAACGGGTTACGGTGTGAACGGGTTACGGTGTGAACGGGTTACGGTGTGAACGGGTTACGGTGTGAACGGGTTACGGTGTGAACGGGTTACGGTGTGAACGGGTTACGGTGTGAACGGGTTACGGTGTGAACGGGCAACGGTGTGAACGGGCAACGGTGTGAACGGGCAACGGTGTGAACGGGCTACGGTGTGAACGGGTTACGGTGTGAACGGGTTACGGTGTGAACGGGCTACGGTGTGAACGGGCTACGGTGTGAACGGGCTACGGTGTGAACGGGCTACGGTGTGAACGGGCTACGGTGTGAACGGGTTACGGTGTGGACGGGTTACGTGTGAACGGGTTACGTGTGAACGGGTTACGGTGTGTGTGAACGGGTTACGGTGTGAACGGGTTACGGTGTGTACGGGTTACGGTGTGGACGGGTTACGGTGTGAACGGGCTACATTGTGTACGGGTTAGGGTGTGAACGGGCTACGGTGTGAACGGGCTACGGTGTGAACGGGCTACGGTGTGAACGGGCTACGGTGTGAACGGGCTACGGTGTGAACGGGCTACGGTGTGAACGGGCTACGGTGTGGACGGGTTACGGTGTGAACGGGCTACGGTGTGAACGGGTTACGGTGTGGACGGGTTACGTGTGAACGGGTTACGGTGTGAACGGGTTACGGTGTGTGTGAACGGGTTACGGTGTGAACGGGTTACGGTGTGTACGGGTTACGGTGTGGACGGGTTACGGTGTGAACGGGCTACATTGTGTACGGGTTAGGGTGTGAACGGGCTACGGTGTGAACGGGTTACGGTGTGAACGGGTTACGGTGTGAACGGGTTACGGTGTGAACTGATACATTGTGTACGGGTTAGGGTGTGTGTGGACGGGTTACGGTGTGAACGGGTTACGGTGTGAACGGGTTACGGTGTGAACGGGTTACGGTGTGAACGGGCTACATTGTGTACGGGTTAGGGTGTGTGTGTACGGGTTAGGGTGTGTGTGGACGGGTTACGGTGTGAACGGGTTACGGTGTGAACGGGCTACGGTGTGAACGGGCTACATTGTGTACGGGTTAGGGTGTGTGTGAACGGGGTACGGTGTGAACGGGCTACATTGTGTACGGGTTAGGGTGTGTGTGGACGAGTTACGGTGTGAACGGGTTACGGTGTGGACGGGTTACGGTGTGGACGGGTTACGGTGTGGACGGGTTACGGTGTGGACGGGTTACGGTGTGGACGGGTTACGGTGTGGACGGGCTACGGTGTGAACGGGTTACGGTGTGAACGGGTTACGGTGTGGACGGGTTACGGTGTGGACGGGTTACGGTGTGGACGGGTTACGGTGTGAACGGGCTACGGTGTGAACGGGTTACGGTGTGGACGGGTTACGGTGTGGACGGGTTACGGTGTGGACGGGTTACGGTGTGAACGGGCTACGGTGTGAACGGGTTACGGTGTGAACGGGCTACGGTGTGAACGGGCTACATTGTGTACGGGTTAGGGTGTGTGTGAACGGGCTACGGTGTGAACGGGCTACATTGTGTACGGGTTAGGGTGTGTGTGGACGGGTTACGGTGTGAACGGGTTACGGTGTGGACGGGTTACGGTGTGGACGGGTTACGGTGTGGACGGGTTACGGTGTGGACGGGTTACTGCGTGGACGGGTTACGGTGTGGACGGGTTACGGTGTGGACGGGTTACGGTGTGGACGGGTTACGGTGTGGACGGGCTACTGTGTGGACGGGTTACGGTGTGGACGGGTTACGGTGTGGACGGGTTACGGTGTGGACGGGTTACGGTGTGGACGGGCTACTGTGTGGACGGGTTACGGTGTGGACGGGTTACGGTGTGGACGGGTTACGGGTTACGGTGTGGACGGGTTACGGTGTGAACGGGCTACGGTGTGAACGGGCTACGGTGTGAACGGGTTACGGTGTGAACGGGTTACGGTGTGAACGGGTTACGGTGTGAACGGGTTACTGTGTGAACGGACTACGGTGTGAACGGACTACGGTGTGAACGGACTACGGTGTGAACGGGTTACGGTGTGGACGGGCTACGGTGTGGACGGGCTACGGTGTGGACGGGCTACGGTGTGGACGGGCTACGGTGTGGACGGGCTACGGTGTGGACGGGCTACGGTGTGGACGGGCTACGGTGTGGACGGGTTACGCTGTGGACGGGTTACGCTGTGGACGGGTTACGCTGTGGACGGGTTACGCTGTGGACGGGTTACGCTGTGGACGGGTTACGCTGTGGACGGGTTACTGTGTGAACGGGTTACGGTGTGAACGGGCTACTGTGTGAACGGGTTACGGTGTGAACGGGCTACTGTGTGAACGGGTTACGGTGTGGACGGGTTACGGTGTGAACGGGTTACGGTGTGAACGGGTTACGGTGTGGACTGGTTACGGTGTGGACTGGTTACGGTGTGGACTGGTTACGGTGTGGACGGGTTACGGTGTGAACGGGTTACGGTGTGAACGGGTTACTGTGTGAACGGGTTACGGTGTGAACGGGTTACGGTGTGTGTGAACGCGTTACGGTGTGTGTGAACGCGTTACGGTGTGTGTGAACGGGTTACGGTGTGTGTGAACGGGTTACGGTGTGTGTGAACGGGTTACGGTGTGTGTGAACGGGTTACGGTGTGTGTGAACGGGTTACGGTGTGTGTGAACGCGTTACGGTGTGTGTGAACGGGTTACGGTGTGTGTGAACGGGTTACGGTGTGTGTGAACGGGTTACGGTGTGTGTGAACGGGTTACGGTGTGTGTGAACGGGTTACGGTGTGAACGGGTTACGGTGTGAACGGGATACGGTGTGAACGGGATACGGTGTGAACGGGCTACGGTGTGAACGGGTTACGGTGTGAACGGGTTACGGTGTGAACGGGTTACGGTGTGTGTGAACGGGATACGGTGTGAACGGGTTACGGTGTGTGTGAACGCGTTACGGTGTGTGTGAACGGGTTACGGTGTGTGTGAACGGGTTACGGTGTGTGTGAACGGGCTACGGTGTGAACGGGCTACGGTGTGAACGGGCTACGGTGTGAACGGGCTACGGTGTGAACGGGCTACGGTGTGGACGGGCTACGGTGTGGACGGGCTACGGTGTGGACGGGCTACGGTGTGGACGGGCTACGGTGTGGACGGGCTACGGTGTGGACGGGCTACGGTGTGGACGGGCTACGGTGTGGACGGGCTACGGTGTGGACGGGTTACGGTGTGAATGGGTTACGTTGTGAACGGGTTGGGTTACGGTGTGAACGGGTTACGGTGTGAACGGGTTACGGTGTGAACGGGTTACGGTGTGAACGGGTTACGGTGTGAACGGGTTACGGTGTGAACGGGTTACGGTGTGAACGCGTAACGGTGTGAACGCGTAACTGTGTGGACGGGTTACGGTGTGGACGGGTTACGGTGTGGACGGGCTACTGTGTGAACGGGTTACGGTTTGAACGGGTTACTGTGTAAACATACCTGGTGCGGGTGAGGTACGTGATGGCGCGGTGGCCGATGTCACGCCGGTACACGGCATCAGGGAAGCTGATCGTTGCCACGGCTTCATTGGCGCAGCGTAAGGCGTTCTGAAGAGTGGGCCGGACCGCGGTCACAGTTAAGACACGCCCACCACTCGTAATAACCCCGCCCCCTTCCTTGAGCACAGTGCCTGCATGGAACACCTGAACGCCCATCTCTGACACCCGGGACAAACCTGGAGAAAACAGCAAAGATTCATTCACTTGACATCAAAACTGCCAAACCAAAGTCAGTCTCTGCGTCTGAATATGCCTACTTGTATACTATAAAGTGTGGTGCAATAGTACTATAGAGATTTATGAATGGAAGTGACACTGTGGTAGATCACATGACAAAGACAATGTAGCACACCCGAATTTCATTCCTACTACATTGTATAGAACACACTTTTTTTTTCTCAAAGCAAGATTTCAACCAAATTTAGCACCTGCTTTACAGTGTGTGATATCGGACGCAGCAAGTGTGATGTAACCATGTAAAAAAAAATGTATTACAACATAATATTTTATAAAAATTGTAATTAATAATATATTTTTAAATATTATATTATTAATTTGAATATGATTAAAGTACTATTATATTATTAAGTATAATATAATATAACATAACATGTCCCAGATTATAAAAGACAGAAATACACTGGTACTCTTATTTTGAAATGCTTATGCTTTACTACTCCCATTCATAAAAATAAGGGACATAAAATATGCACTCCTACAACCATCTACTACAACAATGTTTATTACAACAGTGTTTACTGTTTATATTGTAATATGTTGTAGGAGTGCATATTGTATCCCTCATTTTTATGAACGAGCACCAGGAAGTAGCAAAACAGACATTTCAAAATAAGAGTCCCATGAATTTGGTGCTAGTATAATGTGGGACTTTTTCATTTTAAACAAGCAAAATATATAAAAATAAATACAATAAAATAAATAATAAATAAAAATAAAATCAAAGTCAGGTAACGCACCGGAGATCTCCAGACCCTTCTTATATGAGCCGGGATATCCTCCGCTGGCCATGACCACAGTGACGGCCACACCGTCCTCCAGCCACTGCACTGGACTCGAGCTCAGGTCCGACCGGAGCGTGTTCTTCAACACCTCATATAAATCAGACTTCAGCAACGGCATCAGGACCTGACAGAGACACACACACAGCCGAGCGACCACACACACACACATTCAAGTGGTTATTCACTGATTATTATTTTCCCCTTCTGCTGTGGACCACTGAGTCTGAATCAGTGAACGATTCTGATTCTTTTGAGTCGGTTCGTTACAATGAATCAGTTGACTGGATTCACAAATCTGACTCTTTTTGTGAGGAACAGACTGAAAATATTGAAACGCTGCGATCAGATCAAATGGAGTAACTGAAGGAACTGCGCTTCAATATTTTCAGTCAATTCCTCACAAAAAGCATCACATGACTTCAAAAGAGTTGTAATGCGGGCACGGGTCATTTGGACTACTGTTTTTTTTTTTTTTTTAAGGCTTACCATTTATGGAAAAGAGCTATAAGCCTGCAAGGCATTTATACGAAATAATTTACCCTTCCCTGAAAGTCACAAGAAAAAAACACTGATGTTGTCTGACTGAATCTCTTTAATTGATCTGTTTACCCGAACACCCTGTCATTAAATCAACGGTATTATATTTCAGACGGTGAGATTTCGCCTCAAGGATCAACACAGCCAACTGATGCTCACCTGAGATATAACTTGCCAAAAGCATACAAACATGAATAAAACGCACTATAAATCATCTCACCTGACACTCGGGGTCGCCGAAGCGACAGTTGAACTCCAGGACTTTCGGTCCCTGTTTAGTCAACATCAGTCCGGCGTATAACACACCTGAGGGAGGAAGACGAGCGATGAAGAACAACAAAAACATTCTGTTCCAACTCAAGTTTCGGATTTAACCGGTTTAAAAATTCATTCATTCCTTATGCAATTAAGTTATTAAATAACACCAAGTCGTTTTTTGGGGGGGGGGGGGTTGTGTTCCTCTCTCTCTCTAATGTGTGTGTTATTTTCTATTTTATGTGATGCAGTGGCTGTACTTTTGAGCCCAAGACAAATTTCCCTCTAGAACAATTTTAATAAGATTAATAAGTCTCCAAAATATCTTCTTTTTATTCTTAAATGCTATTTCTTTAAATGCTTATTTTATTATCAAAGCTCTGTAGTTTAAAGGAACACTCCGACTTTTTGGGACTTTAGCCTATTCACCTTATCCCCCAGAGTTAGATAAGTCCATACATACCTTTTTCATCTCTGTGCGTGCTATAAGTCTGTTTGACGCACCCACCGCTAGCCTAGCTTAGCACAAAGACTGGATGTAAATGGTTGCAGCTAGCATACTAATCCAAATAAGTGACAAAATAGCGCAAACATTTTCCTATTTACATGTTGTGATTTGTATAGTCAGTGTACAAAAAACAAAGTCACATGAGACACAGACATATTTTAACCGTATAAATACTGGGAACTATATTCTCAGAAGGCGAAGCACTGCTACTTGGGCAGAGTGATAACCGCAGCACCTGAGACGTACCGTACCCAAACTCTGAACGAACTCTCTGCTCCTCACCACGGCGCGTCTCAGGTGCTGCGGTTATCACTCCGCCCAAGTAGCAGTGCTTCGCCTTCTGAGAATATAGTTCCCAGTATTTATACGGTTAAAATATGTCTGTGTCTCATGTGACTTTGTTTTTTGTACACTGACTATACAAATCACAACATGTAAATAGGAAAATGTTTGCGTTATTTTGTCACTTATTTGGATTAGTATGCTAGCTGCAACCATTTACATCCAGTCTTTGTGCTAAGCTAGGCTAGCGGTGGGTGCGTCAAACAGACTTATAGCACGCACGGAGATGAAAAAGGTATGTATGGACTTTTCTAACTCTGGGGGATAAGGTGAATAGGCTAAAGTCCCAAAAAGTCGGAGTGTTCCTTTAAAACATATAATGCAATGCAATGTAATGATGATTGAGAGATAAAGACAAATAAACCTTCCTCAAATGCCTGATGATCATATTTGATACTTAAGATTTTTCTAGGAAATTATGTCTGGATAATCAAGTAAATCTGAGTTGCTTCAGTCCAGTTGAAATATTACACCAACAATATCAAAGTTGGTTAACTTCAAACTCAATGACCTTTCAAGGACTTTCCAGGTCCAATAACCTCAAATTCAATATTACCAACAATGTCAAAGTTATTCTGATGTTTACTTGATAAAAATCAGTGCAGATTTGACAGCATAATCAGGTATTCATAATAAGGTTTATCAGCAAAGTTGATCATTTAAAGGCCTCCTAAACCGTGTGTCCAGTATGATTGAGTTAGGGTTAACCCTGTAACGGATTAACCCAGGGTTAAGGGTTATAGTTGTATTAGTGTGTGTGTGTGTGTGTGTGTGTGTGTGTAACTCACCCACATACGGCGCTCCCTCGTCTCTCATGCCGTCCACGGTCTTCTGCAGAACGCATCTCGTGATCTCCTGCAGCTCTTCCTCCGACACCTTCACACACATTCAACAGCTCCATCAACACACACACATATGTATAAATGAAAATATAATATATTTAAAACAGGTATCCAAGATAAAAATAAGACAGACCTGCACGATTCTGGATAGATTGAGAATCATATTTTTTTTTGTTTCAAACAGAGATCATAATTCTGATCATTCAACGAAATGAAATTACATGTAATCGGACAAAATGTATATTAAAAAGTTATTTAATTAATTTGAATTAAACAAAATTGGTTTGAGTGAATGATTCAATGACTCATTACTGGATGAATCAGCATTTTTTGAACAAATCACTTGAGTGAATGATTCAATGACTCATTACTGGATGAATCAGCATTTTTAGAACAATCACTTGAGAGAATGATTCAATGACTCATTACTGGATGAATCAGCATTTTTAGAACAATCACTTGAGAGAATGATTCAATGACTCATTACTGGATGAATCAGCATTTTTTTAACAAATCACTTGAGAATGATTCAATGACTCATTACTGGATGAATCAGCATTTTTTTAACAACTGACATGTGAGAATAATTCAATGACTCATTACTGGATGAATCAGCATTTTTTGATCAAATCACTTGAGAGAATGATTCAATGACTCATTACTGGATGAATCAGCATTTTTTTAACAAATCACTTGTGAGAATGATTCAATGACTCATTACTGGATGAATCAGCATTTTTTTTAACAAATCACTTGAGAATGATTCAATGACTCATTACTGGATGAATCAGCATTTTTTGAACAAATCACTTGTGAGAATGATTCAATGACTCATTACTGGATGAATCAGCATTTTTTTAACAAATCACTTGAGAGAATGATTCAATGACTACTGGATGAATCAGCATTTTTTTTAACAAATCACTTGAGAATGATTCAATGACTCATTACTGGATGAATCAGCATTTTTTGAACACATCACTTGAGTGAATGATTCAATTACTCATTACTGGATGAATCAGCATTTTTTGAACAAATCACTTGAGTGAATGATTCAATGACTCATTACTGGATGAATCAGCATTTTTAGAACAAATCACTTGTGAGAATGATTCAATGACTCATTACTGGATGAATCAGCATTTTTAGAACAAATCACTTGAGAGAATGATTCAATGACTACTGGATGAATCAGCATTTTTTTTAACAACTCACATGTGAGAATAATTCAATGACTCATTACTGGATGAATCAGCATTTTTTGATCAAATCACTTGAGAGAATGATTCAATGACTCATTACTGGATGAATCAGCATTTTTTTAACAAATCACTTGTGAGAATGATTCAATGACTCATTACTGGATGAATCAGCATTTTTTTTAACAAATCACTTGAGAATGATTCAATGACTCATTACTGGATGAATCAGCATTTTTTGAACAAATCACTTGTGAGAATGATTCAATGACTCATTACTGGATGAATCAGCATTTTTTTAACAAATCACTTGAGAGAATGATTCAATGACTCATTACTGGATGAATCAGCATTTTTTTTAACAAATCACTTGAGAATGATTCAATGACTCATTACTGGATGAATCAGCATTTTTTGAACACATCACTTGAGTGAATGATTCAATGACTCATTACTGGATGAATCAGCATTTTTTGAACAAATCACTTGTGAGAATAATTCAATGACTCATTACTGGATGAATCAGCATTTTTTGAACACATCACTTGAGTGAATGATTCAATGACTCATTACTGGACGAATCAGCATTTTTTAACACATCACTTGAGTGAATGATTCAATGACTCATTACTGGACGAATCAGCATTTTTTTGAACACATCACTTGAGTGAATGATTCATTGACTCATTACTGGATGAATCAGCATTTTTGAATGTTTTGAACATTTTTTAGTCACTTCTCGCTTCCTACTGGTGTAACGGTGTAATTGATACAATCGTTATTTGAAGCGTCAAGTTACTTTTTAAAGGGCGATTTGCTCCATCGCTACCGTGGACATAAGTGTTTATATTTCAACTCTAAACTTTTATCTCAGTACTTCTGTGATCATTTGAATTAATGCAACGGAAATTGTGATATTGTGTAGCTGTTTTTGAATCCATCTTATAACTGCCCTTTCTGTGTCAGTGGTACTGCAGATCTGAATCACTGTGATCGCACTTGTCAAAGGATCTATTATACCCTTTTATAAACTCTTGATGTGTTTCAGGCTCTACTAGAACAGGTTTTCCTGCTTGAATGTTGATTATTCTCCTCATATTCGCCATTGTTGCGGCTCCTCTCTTCCCAGTCTGTCAGTAACGCTCTGTTTACTTCCTGTCTCTATGAAGCCCCTCCTTCTGAAAAGCACGCTGTGCTCTGATTGGTCGGCTGGAGCAGTGTGTTGTGATTGGTCGAGCGCTTCGAGTGTGTTTAGGGAATGTCCCGCCCCTTTCCATAACCGCCAGTTTAACACACTAATAACTAACTCAATCAGGCCCCGCCCCTTTATTCTGCGCATGGATTATTATAATGAGGAATATTGTGACGTGTTCGTTCCCGGGAGAAACTCAAGACTACAATGGAGGCGTTTCAGGAGTTCAGAAACACTGACGTTGGCTATGTGTACATGCACAACTTTGGTTTGAATTGATGAGTCTGCATGTAGTGTTTACATGAACGCTAAACATGTGATCGGGTCGATGTGTGTGTTTATATGTCACAAGCTTTAAATCGTAATAGATTTTTTGACATGCGCTCACTGCATGAATATAAAGAGTTTCCCACTGTTTGTGCATTATAACCATTCTCCTACATTGGTCCTTTATTTGTTTTAAACAGCAGGCTTAATATTTATCCGTTTCTGGTCATAATTTGGAGACTATGATCATATAAACCGCTGTGCCGCTGCTTATATTGATCACGCAGTAAAGATATCCAGAGCCAGTCGTCTGTGAATGAGAGTGTGAAGCCAGCACTGGTGGGCCGTCGTCCTGCTCCACTTCACACACACAGCGAAAGGAGGATTTTAAAATGACGGGACACTCATTTACACGACACTTTATTCGACAGAAATAACCGCGTCACACGTCATTACGCTGTTTCTACGTCATCACACATGCGCAGTCCTTTCAGTTTCGCAAGTGTTTGCATGTTCTCTCGATCGGATTAGAAAAGGAATACACCACCCCTTTTTTAAATCCGATCGAAATTTCATTCGGATCGAGCTCAGTCGGATCGATTAAGGTGTTTACATGAAGACTTTTCAGTCCGATTGAGCCGTCAATCTCATCACTGATGGATTATTTGGTTGGATGTAAACGTAGCAATTGATATAGAGAGTAACTCCCGCTGCAACAGCAACATTACACATTAAAGACAGATGGAAACAACGGCAGAATAGATCCTAAATGGTTGTCATTCAGGCATAAGACTTCGAGATGTTGACCTGTGGTGTCGGGCAGTACGCGCCCATGCCGCCCGTGTTCGGCCCCTCGTCTCCATCCATCAGACGCTTGTGATCTTGAGCCGGCGGCATCGGTGACACTGTGACGCCGTCGCTGAAACACAAACACTGAGAACAGACAAGACGATTAGCGTGATCTGATCACCTCATTAACACCAGGGCTTAAAGGGATAGTTCACCCAAAAATGAAAATTAGCCCATGATTTACTCTCCCTCAAGTCATCCTAGGTGTATATGACTTTCTTCTATCAGACGAACACAATCAGAGTTATATTTAAAAATGTCCTGGCTCTTCCAAGCTTTATAATGGCAGTGAATGGCCGTTTCTGTTTTGAAGTCCATTAAAGTGCATCTATCCATCATAAAAGTGCATCTATCCATCATAAAAGTGCATCTATCCATCATAAAAGTGCATCTGTCCATCATAAAAGCATCTGTCCATCATAAAAGTGCATCTATACGTCATAAAGTGCATCTGTCCATCATAAAAGTGCATCTATCCATCATAAAATTGCATCTATCCATCGTGCATCTATCCATCATAAAAGTGCATCTATCCATCATAAAAGCATCTGTCCATCATAAAAGTGCATCTATCCATCATAAAAGTGCATCTATTCATCATAAAAGTGCATCTATCCATCATAAAAGTGCATCTATCCATCATAAAAGTGCATCTATCCATCATAAAACTTCAAGGAACTACACTGCGTCCAAAATGGTCGCATATGCGACCTTTTGAAATGCCATTGCGACCCTAATTTTTAATGGGTCGCAAATGTATCACTGATTATTTTTGTACCTACCGTATGTTTTAGGCAATATGCTATGATTTACTATGAGCATTTATTAAAACAGATATGTGTATTTTAAGAATATGTTTTATAACGTGCTCTGAGCATTCAACACATCAAACACATTGCCTTAATAATTATATTATATTAATATAATATAATTATTATTATATTATTTTATGGATTATATTTATTTTATTTTTCCTTAAGAGTTCAGGAGTCTGCCCATCTGTGCCAACCATAGCATGTTGAAATCCAAAAGAAATTCATTTTGCACTTTATTGTGTACTGTATTTTCTATTGCAGTAAATCTATCCCGACCAATGTTAAAGAAAACAAGAAGGCATGTGGTTTAAAAGATGGCAAGTAAAATGCAATACAGTGTCATTATTGTTCATTATTATCCAGAGCGGCTTACTATAAATTATTTGTGCGACCAAATCATGTTTTGCGCCAGTAACTTAAAAAGTTAGTAGCGCAAGTGCCACCGGTGGAAAAGGTTAGTGTAGTTCCCTGAACTTAACGCACAACGTAATGACGGCAATTGACGCCTCTCGCGGTTCAAACACACAGTGCTGGGCAACCGCGTTCATCATTACGTTGTGCGTCAAGTTCAAGTGTTTCTCTTTCGCCATAAATCCTAGCGTACGACCGTCTGACGGAAACTAGTTATTTTAGTCTACAGTTTTTAATATAACTGTGTTCGTCTGAAAGAAGAAAGTCATATACACCTAGGATGACTTTAGGGAGAGTAAATCATGGGCTAATTTGCATTTCTGGCTGAACTATCCCTTTAAACAGGAAGTACTTACAGACACTTCCTCTCCTTCCAGCAACTCCTCCACTACCACAGTCTCACCAGCAGAACCAAACGCCTTGTCCTGAAACGTCAAGAAATTAATACTTTCCGCATTTAATTTGTCAAATAATGTAACAAAAGATTCTATTTCAAATTAATACTGTTCTTTTGAACTTTATATTCATCAAAGAATCCTCAAAAATAAAATGCATCAGTTTCCACAAAAATATGAAACTTTTTTCAACATCATAAATGTTTCTTGAGCATCAGGGGCCGTATTCACAAAGAAGTTTAAGGCTAAAAGTAGCTCCTAACTGGCGAATTTAGGAGCAACTCCTAAAAATAATGGGCGTGTCACTCCTAACTTTAGGACTCCAAATTTTTTTCACTAAGAGTAATTCACGAAGCATTTTAGCCCTAAAAGTAGCACCTAAGTCTGGGACAGCTTAAAAGAAGTCGAGAGGACTCCTAACTCACTAAGACCGATTCACAAAGGATTGTAGCGCACACCACCGCCTCTCGCAGTCGTCCGGGGTCCGCGACACAAGCGGGAATGCTGCATTGATCTGCAAACAAATCCTCTCCCATGTCTCACGCTTAGTTTTGCCTGATATCCCAGTGCCGAATTTCCCTTTTATTATGTTTTTTTTTTTTTTTTAGCACCAGCTGGGCCAGCAGCAGTAACTGATCCTGTGTCCAGTTGGGCTTTCTTTTCCGTTTTGGCGAGTTCATAATCCACCGTCATTCAACTATTACATTACTTCAATAGGAGCAACATTTCCTTGCTTTAAGTAGTCTATTTAGGCTAATAGGATGTCAATTAACCAAGCAAGTGTTAAAGGTGCTCTATGTAACTTTTCTACTAAAATGAATCCTTTTTTTTATTGCCTGTGTGTGAAGGGGTTGTAATCACACATTAAAATGATCCACTTGTCGAGTTTTGCTATTACCTCTGAAGGCCAGTATTCCTATTTCTATGTGAAGTCTCCGGGTCGGATTTACCGCGAAATCCAACGGATGTGACGTGCATGCGCGCTCCCGAGCCTCTCTCCTTATATACAGTCTATTGTAGACGGTCAGGGAGTTACGTCCGGTTAAAGGTGCACGTTTTTCGGCTTATATCTCAGTCAATCTTTGATCAATATTCCCAAGACTCGAACCGTTCGTAGTGCTGGACGGGGCTTTTCGAACGAGCCCACCCCCGAGGTCCAACTCGCCCGGCTCCCTGAGTTATAGCCGTTCGAAATCGGTGGTCCCAGCGAACGGCGATCCGGTAGGGGGCATCCCCGAGGCCCGCCACTCTAGCGTTCGGGCAAGGGTTCCCCTGGGACCTCCTCTCCCGAATTTGAGCTCTCTGGGTCTTTGCGTTCCAGAGATACGAGGGATTTTCTTCTGAGATAGTGACGTCACCGGCGTCCGCAATTTTGCAGCGCGCCCGATGGTTTTCTGCTAATATCTCCGCGAAAACACCACCAAAAACTATGGAACTTATATGGTTCTTTTCAGCTCGACTAGATGGTCCCAACGAGCTCGGTGCTCGCCGAATCCGTCAAGTATTCGCCGAGATATTTGCGTAATAGACGGTATTGTCTATGAGTTCGAGCACGAGCGCTCTTGTAAAATTTGGTTGCAATCTGAAACATCACCACTAGAGGCCGCTAAAAGTTACATAGAGCACCTTTAATGCAAGTGTCGTTTTTCATTATTAGGCAAGTGGCGGTTTTCATTGGGGTATTAGGCTACCTTGATTTAATTTAATTCACGACTTTTCTCTCTCTCTGCCTTTTTAGAATTACACTTCACTGGAGCCTGAACAAACATGTTATTATGCATTTCGATGGCATTACTATTAGTATCCTGTGGATCATGTGACACTGAAGACTGGAGTAATGATGCTGAACATTCAGCTTTGATCACAGGAATAAATTACACTTACAATTGGAATAATATTTTCAAAAACATTAAATATCTCATCAAGCCAAAAATACATAACATTTATATAAACAAAATTGTTACTAACATACAAATTACTACACATTCTGTTAAGTTAGATCTGTATATTTATTGCATTATTTTGACTTGACTAAAATCCTCACACTATGTTCGACCAGCTCACGTTTTGAATCAGGGAATTATTGTGAAATAACTGTGAAACACAAACAGATCCTGTGCCAATATATGATCATCAGCGAGCGACTGACCTTCATGATGTCCAGAACCGCCTGACAGGCCTCGTCTTTATCGCGAGCGACTACGACACCCTTCCCAGCAGCCAATCCGCTGGCCTTCACCACCAGAGCGGGAAACCCCGCGCTGAACACACACAACGACACACACCCTCTCTACTGAACTTTACAAGAGTGTGATGTAATGTTTTAGATGCATCTTAAAGCCAGCATGAAATCCAAATGTCAAAAATTCCTTATTTTTTAAAGGAATCATGCTAACATGATTAGCATGTTACTAGCACGATTAACATGTTGCTAACAAACAACAAACTAACCATGTTAACAATGATAAACATAAGCATCTTGATTAAAACATGTTAGCAACATGCTAATTGTGTTAGCATCATGCTAACAACATGTTTATCATGTTAACATAATGCAAGCAAATGTTAAATGAGTTAGCATCATGTGAACAACATGCTAATCGTGTTAACATCTTGTTAAAAACAAGATTTGGTCTAACGCTAACCATGTTAACAACACGCTAATTGTGTTAACATCATGCTTGTAACAAGCTAATAATGTTAACATCATGCAATAAACATGCTAGCATTATATTAACAACATGCTATATATATTAGTATCATGCTAACAACATGCTAACCGCAGTAATATATTCTTAAAACATGATAACAACATGTTAATTAAGTTAACATAATGCAAATCATGTTAGCAGCATCATGCTAATCATGTTATCAACACGTTAATTGTGTTGGCATCGTGCTTGCAACAAGCTAATTATGTTAACAACATGTTTATCATGTTAACATAATGCAAGCAAATGCTAAATGAGTTAACATCATGTTAACAACATGCTAATCGTGTTAATATCTTGTTAAAAACAAGATTTGGTTAATCCAACGCTAACCATGTTAACAACACGCTAATTGTGTTAACATCAATCTTGTAACAAGCTAATAATATTAACATCATGCAATAAACATGCTAATCGTGTTAACATTATATTAACAACATGCTATTTATATTAGTATCATGCTAACCGCAGTAATATATTCTTAAAAACATAACGTGTTAATTAGGTTAACATCATGCAAATCATGTTAGCTCATGCTAATCAGTTACATGGCGACTTTAAGATGTGCATTTTATTATAATTTGAATTAATTTACTCCCACAGAAGATTGTTTTTTAATCCTATTTTGTGCATGTTTACCCTCGGATGTATTCGCAGGCCTCCTGCGGGTCGGTGAAGGAGCTCCAGCGGGCGGTGGGAATGTTGTGACGGTCCATGAAGGACTTGGAGAAACTCTTGCTAGCTTCCAGCTGTGCAGCCTTCGCCGACGGGCCGAAACACGACACGCCGGCGGCCGTCAGATCGTCCACGATGCCTAAGACACATTACTTCAGTCATCAAGAGCACAACATCTGGAGAGTGCCACATGTGCTACAAAATGCTAAAATGCTAAATTATTAAACCATGATTCAAAACAAGTCAAAATGTGTTAGCAGCATCATGTTAAAATATGCTAACAACATTAATGAGGCATTAAAACATGATAGCATTATGTTAACAACAAACATATTAGCATCTTGCTTAAAAGATGTTAACAATATGCCAATTGTGTTAGCAATAGCATGATGCCAGAACATGCCAACCACGTTACTATCATGCAAGCAACATGCAAATTGCATTATGTTATCAAAATGCTAATCGAGTTAACATCATAGTAGCAACATGCTAATTGTGTTAACAATGCTAACAACATTCTAATCATGTTAGCATTATACTAGCAGCATTTTCATCTTGTTAACATCATACTAACAACATGTTAATTGTTTTAACATCATACTAACAACATGCTAATCATGTTAGCATTTTACTAACAGCATGTTCATCTTGTTAAAATCATACTAGCAACATACTAATTGTTTTAACATCATACTAGCAACATGCTAATCATATTAGCATCATACTAGCAACGTGTTAGTAAAATGATAATGAAGAGATGAAGCATCTTACCAGCAGCCAGAGGAACTTCTGGACCAACGACCACGAGTCCCACGCTATGATCCTTACAATACTGCGCTAAAATACAGTGATTGTTCACAGACACCTCTGGAAGATATAATATTATAAATTATTATAACATCCCTTCAAGCGGACAAAGTTTCCACATTCATCAATGCATTTTAAAATCTTTTTTTTCCCAATGCATGTTACATTTATTAACATTAAGGATTAACAACCTTAACATTTATTAATAATTACTTGTATTTTTAATTTGTGTAAGTACTCAACTAATCGATTACTCTGATTCTCTAAGCGCATTTTAATAATAATTTATATTATATATAAATAACAATTTTTTCTTAATTTATACATGCATTGCAATGCATATGTGTGTATTTGGCTATATATTCAACAATTATACACAGTACACACACATATATTATGTAAACACAAACTTTTATTTTGGATGCGATTAATCGCGATTAATCGTTGTCCAGCACTGCTTTTTTTCAATGCATGTTGTTCTTTTAGAAACGTGTTGGTTGTTAAACCTCCAAGTGAGCCGAAGCCAAACAATTATGAATAAAACACGATGCATTATCATGAAAGCTTGTGTTTTTAATTCGTCACGTCTCACCCGAGTTGCAGATCTTGCCGCTGTTGGCCGTGCCGGCGTTCCCAGGAGCCACGAGGACCTGCTGAACGAGAGGCGACTGCGCTAACTTCCACGCTAGTGCGTGTTCGCGCCCTCCACTGCCCACCACCAGCACCCGCTCCGCCATGACCTCTGACCTGTGCGGTCACATGACCTCAACATAAACACATGCAACGATCTCATATACGACTACTGGCATCAATATGAGGAGTTGGACTGGTGTCAAAAATTAATAAATAAATGTATTTATTTGGGGGGAAAACATTTCTATAAACGTTATCATTTTAAAAAAATATTTTTTTAATTATAAATAATTGGTAAGACTTTACTAAAATCTTCCTTTAATTAGCGTTTAATTAATCTTGTGCAAAACTAGTGGCATAATTATGAGACCTTAGACTCAACTCTTCCATTTAGATACTTAGTTATAGAGTCGAAAAATAAAGCAAATTAATGAATGAATGAATTAATTAATGTTAATTCGTGTTTAATTAATAGATCTCGTTCTCAACGATTGGCATAATTATGAGAAATTGTGCTATTTAATTTTAGTTAGTCAAAAAATACAAAAATAAATATTAATTTGAAAGAATAAAACTGTAACTACATTCAATAATTTTAAATACATATCTTAATAAATAATGAATAAGACTACAGTAACATCCCTTTCATTAGTGTTTAATTAATGCAACATCTTGTGCAAAACTACTGGAATAATTATGAGACCTTAGACTCAACTCTGCCATTCATGTATTTAAAGTGTCAAAAATAAAATAAATAATTGAATATTAATTATTAGTATATCATTTAATAAATTAATAAAACACTACAATTAAATTAAATCATTTTTAATAGTATTTTAAACAATAATAAGTGGAAACACTTTACAAGTAGTTCCTTTAAAGATTGTTAATTCATGCATTAACAAACAATGAGCAACATTATTAATAGTTAATAAAAACACAACAGTTGATTGTTAGTTCATGTTAGCTCAGGTCCATTAAATAATATGAACAGATACAACATTTGATTTGAATAATGTATTAGTAAATGTTGAGTTTAACATCATTAAATGAGATAATTAAATGCTTTAGTTGTTTTTTTCATTGATAATTCACGTTAATATAGTTAACAAATAGATTGTGTATTTATCAAACGATTTAATTAAAAACTGCTGCAAATTTTTGCACACAGTTATTGGCGGATACCGATAATCTCTGATATATTAGTCGTCACTATCTCACAAAATGTCACTATCTGCATGTAAATAGTTTGTATATCATCTAAAGAGGCGGTTTGATTGCATGCAGGCTTTGACCTATAGGATGCACCGATGCGAGTTTGATCATCTCCTGCCATTGACCTTTCAGTGCTGAAGCCAGACCTTAAATCCCAGCAGACATTAACATCACACACACCTACAGAAGCACTGCAACACTGCATTAGTGCAACAAAGCACTGTGCATCTGCACAAAACATTGCATTTGCATTAAAATACCATCAATTAACTCTGAAAACAAGACTCTTTAAGTTGAACTTTGGCTCCAAAACCCACTGACACAATTCCTCGTGTTGAGCAAGAGTTGGTGTGGATAACTGATGATCACAAATCAATTAAACACACAATCACAGGGAGTATGTTAACAAGCATCACATGAGTGACTCACATCACGAGATTCAGCGTTTGCTCCTCGTTTACTTACTTTGGACGTTTTAAAGAACACTAAATGCAACACATATATATATGCATGCATGCATGCATAATAATGATTATGCATTAGATCGTTCTTGAAATGCATGAGCAATTATCATGCACGGACATGTTTTGCTGTTTCAGACACAACTCTTATAAAAGAAATATGGTGGGACTATGCACTGTTGTAAAGGATTCCCATATTTAATGTCACATTACCATGTTTTATGAACATGTCTAAAAAGGTTCTACATATGTCCAAAAAAGACAAGATATTACCATGAAACATATTCAAAAACCTGTAAAACATTCATTCAGCACTGCACAATAAATCATGATGCAACATCAGTCAGACTGCATGCAGTTCCTGAGTTATCTTCTTAAAGTTGTTAGGCTGTATATTTGTTGCTACTGTAGGAGTAATTGCTCACTTACGTTATTTCTGATGAAGTGCAGGCTACAGTCGGGATCCTGTGTCTCGTTCAGGTCGTGTTTAAGTGCTGGACAGAAGACCAGAGTGTGTTTAACACAACAAACCACGTGCGGACAGGCTACTGACGTTCGATTCGCAAAATGAATCATTCTTTTGAATCGGTTCTTTTGAATGATTTGGTTAGATCAAGTGACTATAATCTGAGGTGAGATCATAAACAGAAGAATTTCCATACACGATGTATGAAAGCTTGTTTCCACCACATGGGGAAAAGAAATAATTGCAACTTTTTATGTCATTAACCCTTTTTCTCATAAATTCCGTGTTTATATCTCAATTGCGTCAAAAGTAGGAAATGTTAGATAAAAAGACGCAATTATATTGTTTTATTCCATGGCGGAAACAATCTTCCTTAATATGTGTATATGAAGTTTAACCTATATCTCGTGAAAACAGTAGTATTTAACTATGTATTTAACAAATATTTCAATTCAGTTGATTAATTGAACCGAACTGTCCTAACGAATCGATTCGCTACAAATGAATCAGACTCCTTGACGCTAAACTCCACACACGTTACAAAAAATTAAACTACAAACCGTGTCGTAGATCTGGGATATGACATGGATGTGTAAAATAAATATATAACATAGTGTTTGGGAGTTTAGACTTTGTATACACCCTTCAAGATCGATGCAAGTTTCAGTTTTATCAACTTCCTTTCAGGGCAATTTTGGGAAATGTAGTTTATGTAACGATTCCGAGTTCCAGTTCAAGGAATGTGCACAGGTTTCCTATTGACATTTCTATCATAATAAATACTTTTTAAATTCCAACACAACACCAAACAAACTAGATCTTTTGAAACAATAGGACTAGCATGTGCATTTCTTGCCTTTTATTTGATAAACATGATGCTGTCAACCAACAAACGCTCAAACAACATGAAAAAAAAAAACTATATTGTTAACACAAAACACATCTATTTAAAATCCCAAGAATAAAAACAGACATGATATTGATCCTTAATAACTTAATTAGCTGTATATTTCAGCATCATCATCAACATGCACTCTTAAAAATACAGGTTCCAAAAGTTTATTTTTACAGAAGAACCATTTTTGATTCCACAAATAACATTTGAATAATCTAAATAACCTTTTTCCACTATAAAGAAGCGTAAAGGCTCCATGGATGTTAAGGGTTCTTCATCAATGAACTTTATTTCCAGGAGTGTGAGCTGAAGTGCAGATTCACAGCAGAGGCAGCTCCGGCGTGTGGAGGAGCTCTCGCCCGACATCCGAGTCTCGGAGAGCGAAGAGAGTCACTCCAGAGCTGTACGCCGCGGGAATCATCAGATGCGACGTCTTCGGACGCTCTTCGTCCTTCTGCTCTTCTTCCCTGATCATCTCTCTAACTTGACCTATAATTATAAGAAACTCACGGTCAGTGGCTGAATGCATTAGCTGGACGATATAGGTGACATTTACAGTGTCGGTACACTGAACAACATCAGGCCTTGAAGAGAAAATAGAGTGCGCAGTGTGTAATCTGCATTATTACACGGCTGTGTGGAATACTTGATTCTGATTGGTCAGCAGCGCTATACGCTCACTGGGAATGTTTTTTCTTTGTTGAAGTTTTGCGTTTGTCGAGCTAATAAAATATTAAAACTCAGTCGAATCAATATTTTGTGTACAGTTATTTAATTATGCCATCCAGTATCGTGGACTCGCTCTCTCTTGTTTCATAAACGCAGCGGCGGCCATTTTGTGACTATTGTTTTTTACACTGTTGGATTATAACATACAAACTGGTACGATTTTAAAACATTTACTCTGAAATCAATATCTCTGATCTCTATAATTATTTATGTGTTGAAATGCTGTGTAATAAGTATTATGACTGTATACCGTATCTCTTAAATGTCCGTCTAGTTTGATCTCGCCGCTGAAACTGCTCTCTCCGCGAAGCTTTGAGTTTAAAGAGATGATAGAATATTTCAACTCAGATCAATATTTTGTGTCTAATTATTTACTTTTGTGGCAAGCAGCCTGTAATAAGCGGGATAATGAACATCCAGACAGTTGTTATCTCAGAATAAACCCCTTCAGGTGTGTGTGTGTTATCTCAGAATAAACCCCTTCAGGTGTGTGTGTGTGTGTCTGTGTGTGTGCGTGTGTGTGTGTGTGTGTGTGTTATCTCAGAATAAACCCCTTCAGGTGTGTGTGTGTGTTATCTCAGATGCAACCCCTTCAGGTGTGTGTGTGTGTGTGTGTTATCTCAGAATAAACCCCGTCAGGTGTGTGTGTGTGTGTGTTATCTCAGAATAAACCCCTTCAGGTGTGTGTGTTATCTCAGAATAAACCCCTTCAGGTGTGTGCAGGTGTGTGTGTGTGTGTTATCTCAGAATAAACCCCTTCAGGTGTGTGCAGGTGTGTGTGTGTGTGTGTGTGTTATCTCAGAATAAACCCCTTCAGGTGTGTGTGTGTGTTATCTCAGAATAAACCCCTTCAGGTGTGTGTGTGTGTGTGTTATCTCAGAGTAATCCCCTTCAGGTGTGTGTGTGTGTGTGTGTTATCTCAGAGTAATCCCCTTCAGGTGTGTGTGTGTGTGTGTGTGTGTGTGTGTGTGTGTGTGTGTGTTATCTCAGAGTAATCCCCTCCAGGCTGATGAAGACCTGATCCTGATCACCCGGTGTACAGGAGTGTGAACAGAACAGTCAAAAAGAGGGCGCCGTACCCTCCACATTTAATGTCTTCCAGCGCAGGTCGGGATGCTGATCTGAGATCTGTGACAGGTGAACATCTGGAGTCAGTCTCTTCAGAACATCTTCCCGGCGAATGAGCAGCACAGACTCGCTGCACAGACGCTCATGAACCTCCTCTTCACTCACTGTGGAAGAAAACAACAAGTGTAGGATCTAAGAAGGAACACAAAGAAATTTCATTACACTAAGGATTATGTAAAATTGCCATCACCACATGGTTATTTAATACACGGTGTGTTCATTCCAAAATAAAAGTTCCACTTCCGACACATCGGCCAAACAGAAAAATATCGGAAAAAGTATCGGACAAAGCGAATATTTAAAAAAAAAAAAAAATACCGTCTGATATATCAGTCGACCACTAGATTGTATTTTTATTTTATAGTTTACTGTTCTTTTACTTTACAATAGTTAATAGATTATTTAACTTTACTTTAGCTTGTATATTGTCAGGGCTGCGTCCTGAACTGTGTGTTTTTGCCTCTTCATGATGACTCGCTTGCTTTAGTCCTCATCTGTAAGTCGCTTTGGATAGGCGTCTGCTAAATGACTACATTTCTAAATGTCTAAAGTATGTTTGAAGTGTTTGAAGGTTGAGCTGCGAGCTCATTGGCTACTGATACAGCAGGAACCAATCAGCTGTGCCCTATATATAGAGAACGATGTGATTGCAATCTGGGCCGACAAAAAGTTGAAACGGTGGTGCGTTGAACACCCTGTTCTGATGAGGCAAGAGTCGCAACTACGGCAGCTGAGAAGGACATTCTCTGTGTTCTTTTCGAAGAGTTTTCAGAGCCGGATGAAATCGGTATAAACACGTGTTTAATTCTGCAAAACACGCTCGATGTTTCAGTCACCGCCCTCGCCGTCCAGAATAACAGAGAACATCCCAATCGAGAGAAGGGATTTGTGGAAACTGTGCTTCCTAATAATTGTGATCCAACATTTGCCTCGTGTTTCAGGATGAAAAGACAAACATTTCAGGTGAAGGATAATCCACGTTATGATCTATATGATCTTATTATTTTTATTGTGAGTACTAGGCTTATCATTATTGCTGATCACTGTTGATATGCTATACGTTTACTATAAAACTCTTACAAACATGTCTTCTGATATCTTCAATGTTGTGTATGCCGAGCTCCAGGACCCGTTGTGCGAGCCGTCTCTTTAATACCGCGTGGTTTATGTACATGTTGCTGCTGCATGGGCGGACATTTTTGACACACACACACACACACCAAACAAGAGAAGACGTGTCTCAAACCCCGTTACACACCGTTTCCATGAAACATGTCGTTCAACCCAGAAACTGTAGCAAAGGTTTGAGCTTGAACGTGCTCCAGTTTTCATTTCACCAACAAAATAAAAGTTGGTCCGACACATCGACCAAAAATAAAAAAAAATAAAACGTATCGGCCAACGCCGATATTTAAAAATGGCCAAATATCGGCCAATATATCAGTCGACCACTAGTTTTTATTTTTTACTGTACTGTAGTTTACTGTTGTTTAACTATACTATAGTTAATAGATTATTTAACTTTACTTTAGTTTTACAAATTTTGTTATGCGCTTTTTTCATTTTATTAATTTTGTTCTTTTTACACACAAATTATATAAAGTATCAGTGCAGAGTTATTTTAGTATCACTGATATTCTATTTTAGTTGTAATTAATATTTTAAATCAGGTTTTATTTTTATACTCTGTTTTATTATTTTTATATTATATTTATCTTACTTTGAAAGTTTTAGTAATTTTGTTGTGAGTTTTTGTCACTTCTATTATTATTATTATTTTTTTTAATAAGTCTCTATACTTTTTATTTCAGTTTCAAGTTTAGTTATTTCAGTCCATCAAGTTAAGCTAAATGAAAATTACTTTTTTACAGTTTCAGTTTCAGTGAACTAAATAAACCCGTGTGATTTGGGACTCTGAAGAGAAGTTTATAGATATTATATATATATATTAGGGGTGTAACGATTCCCTCATGTCACGATGTGATACATATCTCGATACTGAACTCACGATACGATATTATTGCGATACTCCAAGACATATGATAAAAGATTAACAACAAAATTACTGTTAATTTGGTTTTACATTGTGTGTGTAAATGAATATCTTGGACTCGGTGCTAAAACCCAAAGCACAGGACAATAGAGACACCAGAATAACAATATTCATGATTCTGAAGATGAAAATACAGAATTATTATAGACGAATCTTCTTGATCTTTCACTGACTAGATATATTTAAAATAACGTCGGCCACTTTTACTGGTAACATCAGATATTTGGCATTATCAGGACCCACAAATATCGCATTATTATACATTATATTCAACATTATATATAGTAGTTTAATGTAGTACTGACACTAAAACTGAAAACTAAAAAAAAATTCTCACACAGTAATTTCTATTTTGGTTGAACTATCCATGATACATATTGTTGCATTTTTGTATTGCGATGTATTGTGATTTGTGACACGATATATTGTTACACCCCAAATATACACACACACACACACACACAGTGATTCGTGTGATTTGTGACGCACCCACATCCAGAGGGTTGGTCATGAACACGGCTCTGGGTCCCACGCCGAAGATGAGCTGGTGGTGCCAGGCGTCGGGGATCTCCTCTCCTTCGGGAACGGCCTTCTGCATGTTCATGGTGGCGACGGGAACGGCTCCACGCAGGATCCACCGGGCCAACCAGGGCACCAGCTTCACCCTGCGGCGGGGAAAGAGCCCGAAGAACCGGCCCGCGACGAGCCCCGCGCTGGCCTGGTCCGCCCCGTCGATCAGCTGCAGGTGCGTCGCCCCTGGAGGAGCGCAGGCGTGTCGGGTATTAGAGAACTAAACACAGTACGGCTTAATATCAATATATCCGCGTAGCGCAGTACTCATCGTTACAACATCGTTAAAATAGTCGAACGCAGGCTCACTATTGGCCGACGCTGGTCATGTGTGTGTGTGTGTGTGAACAACCCAGAAGCGCTGCGCTGTTACACACATGAACTCACTCAGGCCCACAGAGAAGGACATGAAGAGTTGAATAAAGTCGTTATTTTTGTTTGTTTTTTGCGCACAGAAAGTATTCTCGTCGCTTCATAAACTTAAGGTTGAGCCGCTGTAGTCACTCGGACTATTTTAAAGCTACACTGTGTGATTTTTACCCCCATCTAGCGGTGAAAAGGTATATGACCATCCAGTGAATATTAGTTTCAGTTCCTCTCAATTCCGATTTCGTTTTAACTCCTACGGTGGCCAATGTAGTCCAAGATTAACACGGCTTCCAGTTCGACCTCGTCCGTGAGTGTTCCTTCACGTGATGAGGTTATTTTAGAAAACTATTATAATTTGCAGTAATTTAATTTGTCAGGTAACATATAGGTTATGACATCTATGTAAAATGAATAATAGTTTTATGTTTTCGTTATTTTTTTACCATTTCATTGCTAACATCAGTTATCAGGTTCCCAGACGAATGCAAGCTAATCTTAGTAAAGTAACTTTTATCAGTGCCATCGTTATTCTGTATGTTGTACGACATCACTAGCGTAAGGCAAAGTTTACATTGTAGGCTATATATTATTTTCCGTCTTAATTCTCTTTTTCGCTTCCTTGGCGACTCTGATACATATCCTGGAGAATAAGAGTGATCCTCCATCAGCAACAGATTTCAAAAAGGCTTTCAGGTTTTTATATATCAGTCTCAAGCAATCCCCCTCTTGACATTCGACACGGTGCCATCGAGTGTTAAAACGCGAAAGGCGAAGCTTGAATTAACGGGTATGTCCCTCTTTGGCTAATGTACTTTCAAGATGGAGGGGCAACATGGCGACCGACATTAGAACCCCTGACCCGTATGTATTTTCAATGGCATATTATACACTCACGAGAATACTTTATTACTTGAACGAAGTAAAAATACATTAATGAGCACATATATTTTTGAAAGAACTAAGTGTTTTTAGCTAAGAATAAACTAAAAAAGTTACACAGTGTAGCTTTAAGTATATGCAAACAGTTGGGATGTGCATCAGTGCATTCGGTCTTAAAGAGACAGTACTGTAATGTACCAGCTACTGTCTGTGTCATTAACGTCAATCAAACAATACAGAGTAAATCACTCACTGCTCTTGAGCGAATAATGTTATCTTTAATCAGAATCAATTTAATTCATACTATGCATTACATTTAAATATGCAATTGTGTGGTATTTTTTACTGCATCTTACCCGGATTCACTACGGTAAGTTACATCGTGCGTACAAGTAACATAAAACATTTTTTAAGACGAACTTCCAACTAAAGCGTTTCAGTAAAAATGGCCATGTTTTTTTGTGCTAATGTTTTGAAAACATTGAACGATCGTTCTGTCAACGTTACCAGAAGAACGTTTATCTTTGAGAGACTTTGAGAAATTGAGATAAACACGATGTATTTACAATTGAGATAAATTGAGATAAACACGATGAATAAACAATTCTGCAAGAAGAATTGATGCATTGATTATTAAAATGTTGTTGCATTGTGTACCTTTAATAACAAAAAATTATGATAAAAAAAAAAAAACAGCAAAAAATAACTATGAAGAGCTCAACCTGTACCAGCTTTGCTGTTCTAATATATATATATTAGGGGTGGAACGGTACACAGAAGTCACGGTTCGGTTCATACCTCGGTTCAGACGTCACGGTTCGGTACGATTTCGGTACAATGGAGGGAAAAGCAAAACAAAAAAGCAGAAGGCATTGTATTTTTTAAATAAGTTTTATTAATAAAGGCATAGAACCAGTTTATTTGTAGTGCACTGACAATAGTTTTATATAATTAGTTTATTAATTAAATTAATAAAAAGACAAAAAGACCTTGCGATGTGTTTGGTAATTGTACCTGTATTAATTTAAAATTAATTTGGTATATTTCAGATCAATATATTTGTTTTCCTTCATTTTAATTAACATTATTAATTAACAATGTAACATTATTCTCATCTGAATTATAAATAGTTGATTTCTGTATAAAATAATACTACCATTAAAAACGCATTCGATTTTCTTTTTTAATCAATGTAGAATGTGTAAGATTAGTGCTCCGAGGACAAGAAATGAAAACCAATGCGATGAATGTCCAAAAGATGGGACCCAGACTGTTTTGAAATGGAGTTGGATAAATATGTTTTGCTTTTAAAACAGCGTGTGTGTGTGTGTGTGAGAGAGAGAGATTTTGGTTGGGTGACAAAAGAGACTTTTGTGACAAAAGCACAATGTTGTGTTTTATTGCGAGTGTACACAAATATACACTCACCGGCCACTTTATTAGGTACACCTGTCCAACTGCTCGTTAACACTTAATTTCTAAGCAGCCAATCACATGGCGGCAACTCAGTGCATTTAGGCATGTAGACATGGTCAAGACAATCTCCTGCAGTTCAAACCGAGCATCAGTATGGGGAAGAAAGGTGATTTGAGTGACTTTGAACATGGCATGATTGTTGGTGCCAGAAGGGAGAAGCAGAAGACTCAGAAGACCAACAGCAGAAGACCCCACCGGGTACCACTCATCTCCACTACAAATAGGAAAAAGAGGCTACAATTTGCAAGAGCTCACCAAAATTGAACAGTTGAAGACTGGAAAAATGTTGCCTGGTCTGATGAGTCTCGATTTCTGTTGAGACATTCAGATGTTAGAGTCAGAATTTGGCGTAAACAGAATGAGAACATGGAACCATCATGCCTTGTTACCACTGTGCAGGCTGGTGGTGGTGGTGTAATGGTGTGGGGGATGTTTTCTTGGCACACTTTAGGCCCCTTAGTGCCAATTGGGCATCGTTTAAATGCCACGGCCTACCTGAGCATTGTTTCTGACCATGTCCATCCCTTTATGGCCACCATGTACCCATCCTCTGATGGCTACTTCCACCATGTCACAAAGCTCTAATCATTTCAAATTGGTTTCTTGAACATGACAATGAGTTCACTGTACTAAAATGGCCTCCACAGTCACCAGATCTCAACCCAATAGAGCATCTTTGGGATGTGGTGGAACGGGAGATTCGCATCATGGATGTGCAGCCGACAAATCTGCGGCAACTGTGTGATGCCATCATGTCAATATGGACCAAACTCCCTGAGGAATGCTTCCAGCACCTTGTTGAATCTATGCCACGAAGAATTGAGGCAGTTCTGAGGCAAAAGGGGGTCCAACCCGTTACTAGCATGGGGTACCTAATAAAGTGGCCGGTGAGTGTAAGTAAACACTTTGCAGGTTTAATGATCTGTATGAACAAAATGACGGAGTATGTTTTTTATGTTTCCACTGTTCGATCGCGGCCGCGCCTCTCTCTCACACACACACACAAACACACACACTCCAGCATTGCAATCTTGACATCGCAGCCTGTTCATTATGCGGTCACACCAAACGCGAATAGAGCGTCAGATTCGCGTCTAGTTCGCCGCTAGTCCAAAGCGAATAGGACACGCGTATAAAGCCAACGTTTGAAGTGAACGCGCGTTCAGAGCTAATAGCCGATGGTACAGATTATGTGTCCCTAAAGAACCCGCGTATCTAACAGTAGTTCCGCATTACATTAATTAATTTTCACGCGAGTTTTATTTATTTTTATACCGTGTATTCTCCGTGTAAATTCGCGCACCGAACCGTGACGCCCGTACCGTTTCGGTTCGGTACGAATACATGTACTGTTCCACCCCTAATATATATATATTGCTTTTAATTTATTTAGAATATTGTTAACAGTATAACTGTGCAGTTAATTCTCATACTGTATTTTCAAATAGTTTTGGAATATTTTTCCTCTCCCCAAATGTGTGAAAAATCAGCAAAAACACTTGCTGCGCGAGTGCAGGTAATCGTGATTAAAAAAAATAACTATAATATATACAGGAGAAACTCGAAAAATTTGGTGCAAATGGTGCAAAAGTTAATTTATTTCAGTAATTCAACTTAAAAGGTGAAACTAATATATTACATGCAAAGTGAGATATTTCAAGCCTTTATTTGTTATAATTTTGATGATTATGGCTTACAGATATGAAAACCTTTTCACAATATTCTAATTTTGAATTTGGGGGTTTCATAAGTAAGCCATAATCATCACAATTATAACAAATAAAGGCTTGAAATATCTCACTTTGCATGTAATGAGTCTATATAATATATTAGTTTCACCTTTTAAGTTGAATTACTGAAATAAATGAACTTTTGCACCATATTCAAATATTACGAGTTTCACCTGTATATATTGCTTTTAATTTATTTCAAACATAGTTAATATAATTGTGCAGTTAATTCTCATACTATATTTTCAAATTGTTTTGGATGTGCAAAAACCCAGTGCTGAGTGTGAAATGAAGCGTGTGGAGAGCGGGTGTACCAGCGTTGCTGCGCGAGTGCAGGTAGTCGTGCAGCGGCGCCGTGTTCCTCCTCAGACTCGTCCTCACGCAGGAGTTCACCGTCTCCGGCGCGACCGCGATGATGCCGAGCGCCTGAAGGACGTCCACCAGGGCCGTGGCTCCGCACGCAGAGACCCCGATCTGAAGAGTCTGCCTCTGGACCGCCTCCTGGATGCTCCACAGCATCGCCGTGTGGACCTCAGGCCCGGCAGAACCCTCCGGATCCTCAGACCCCATCAACTCCATCTCTGCTGGGTGCGGTGCTGGAAGACACATGCAGTCAGGGCTTTTCAATCTGTTACCATCCTCGTGCAAGGGACGCCCATCCTAACATTTAAGCTATCTATTTTCATGTATAAATCAATCAATTAATACCGTGAAAAATGTGTTATAAATGTGCAAAATATTTAGTTTTTATTACATTACTTAGTTGTTCTTTTCCTCTTGGACTCACTGTAATAATGTACTTTTATTTATTTAATATTATTATTTATTTAAATCAAATTCCATTTATTTTAATATTTTTTAAATCATTTTTTAAGTCCGGGCTTTTTAAATCTGTTACATGCAAGTGCAAGGGACATTTATGCTTTATATTTTCATATATAAAGATCCAATTAATACCGTGAAAAATGTATATTATAAATGTGCAAAATATTTAGTTTTTATTACATTACGTTGTTGTTGTTTTCCTCTTGGACTCACTGTAATAATGTCCTTTTATTTATTCATTTAATTGTATTTATTTATTTTAATATTTTTTAAATCATTTTTTAAGTCCGGGCTTTTTAAATCTGTTAGATGCAACGGATCCTAAAATTTAAGCTATATATTTCCATACATAAAGATCCAATTAATACTGTGAAACATTTATATTATAAATGTGCAAAATATTTAGTTTCTATTACATTACATCATTGTTTTTTCTTGGACTTTTAGATGCATTTTGTTCATTTATTTAATTTTATTATTTATTTATGTATTTAATAACTCAAATTTGAAATTTGAAATCAAATTGAAAAATTCCATTTATTTTAGTATTTTTTTATTTGACTGAATTTACTTTTTTTTAGATAGTTTAATCTAATTTTACCTTTCTAAGCTGCTTTATTTAAATGATGTTTTATACATTTATTTAGTTTTTATCAAATGTATGTATTTTATATATTTAAATCAAATTACTTTTTATTTATGTTAATCAAATGTATTAATTGAATCATTTAATCATGTTTTTAATTTAAATACAGTTGTATGTATTTTAATCAATTTATTTTAACCTAAAGTATTCATTTATTATGTATTTATTTTAACACAATTATTTATTTTTTCATTTGTTTTATTTTCATCAATGTATTTTATTGTATAAAATTATGTATTTATTTATTTTATAATACTATTTTATTTTAGCACTAACAATTCTGTTTTTTTAAATATTATTTATTTATAAAATTCATAAAAAGTACAAATCTTTAATAACTTTATTTTTACACTGTTTTAAGAAATTATCATTGATGACAATACAGCTCTGTTTCATGATAATAACAACGTCAGAAAATGTTCATAGATAACAACAGCAACATCATCATCGTAAACATAAACACAGCAAATTTTATTTATTATTAATTTTACGTAAAAAAAATTTAAATAAGAGACAAATGTTAATTTATTGATTATGATAATAATAATGTTCCGAATATAATTGTACATTTGTATCATAATTATACAAACTGTTTATAAATATAAAACTATAACATACTGTACATTTACAATTATTAATTCTGACTATTATTATTAATTTTTTTTATGAAAATGTCTTTTATCGTATGCCTGTTATTTATTTTACAATACCACGGCAAAGCACTCGAGGGCGTAGAGATATATGGTTTTACCATCGTTAAGCAGGTTTGGAGCAGCATTTTACCATCGTAAAATAAAATCTGTGACAGCGATATTTTAGCGTTCTGATGAACCTGAACCATGATAACACGTTCATTATACCGGGAGCCTTTTAGTTTTTATACATCACGACGCTCGCTGCAGATTTCAGGGTAAATCATCTATTTCTGCTTAAAATATATTATGTAAATATGACAACACAACTAAGATAAAGCATAAAAATGAAGCATTTGGTTCAATACAAACCGCTTCAGCACGAGGAACTCGACTTGACTCCTGACGGGCTCTGGTTTGTTTTTATTCCTTGATTAGCTCTCGTGACTCAGTTACTGAGCTGTGATTGGATGGGGGGGGGACTCCGTCAATGTGCTGTGATTGGATTGCGGGACTCCGACAGTGTGCTGTGATTGGTCTATCAAATGTGACAGATTTTTTTGGCGCATGAATCTCATAGAATTAAAAATCTGAACGTTTATTTAAAATTTGTATGGAAGCCTATTTCCGCAGGAAGAAAAATCATGCTCAGGCAAATCTTTAAAAGTTAGAATTATGACATAATAAGTGACTACATAATTATGACAAAAACATAAATTACATACTAATACAAAACATAAATATGAAATAAAAAGTGATGATTATGTAGAAAAGTCGACATTGTGAAAAGAATGCATAATTATGACATACTATGTGACATTAAAAACATAAATATGACATAATAATTATGGGATAAAAAGTCAAAATATGACAAAAACTTAAAATAGCCTAATCTTAGAATAAAGTCATAATTATGACAAGTCGACATTGTGACATAAAAAAACCCTAAATATGACATAAAAAGTAGACATTATGATATAAAAACAATAAATATTACATAATAATAAGTGAGATAAAAAGTCAAAATTATGACAAAAAAATCATAAATGACAAAAAAGTCAAAATCATAAGATAAATTCAAAATTATGACGTCTAGCCACACACACACACACAACATTTCAATTTCATATCAACTGACGCAATTAAAAATACGTTTACATATAGAAGATTACAGTTGACATAGGGCTGTCAAATGATTAATCACGATTAATCACATCCAAAATAAAAGTTTTTTTTACATAATATACGTGGGTGCACTGTGTATAATTATTTTGTATATATATAAATACACACACATGCATGTATATTTAAGAAAAAAAATATTATTTATATATAAAATATTTATATTTATATGTAATATAAATTATATATAAATCTATATACAGTATATACATGAAAATATTTCTTAAATATATACAAGCATGTGTGTGTATTTATATATATAAAATAATTATACACAGTGCACCCACATATATTATGTAAAAAAAAACTTTTATTTTGGATGTGATTAATCACGATTAATCATTTGACAGCCCTAGACCATGGTTTCGTATAAGAGTAACACTTATGCTAACTGGTCCCGAATGGCTGATGTCAGAGTTACAGTTATAGTTTCGCTTTCGAGCACATTTAAAAGTGAGAGTAAAAGTGAGAGTGTGTTCAGTCAGTGAAAGCGGGCTGATGTACACACATCTCGGACGGGAACGATGCAAACCCCAGCTCGAGTGCAGAGCTAAACACTCCGACCTCGACTGTGAACACGTGACCCTGTAGCGATGAGAAGGGCCTGAGTGAGAAGGGATGATTCTGTCCTCCGGAACCCGAACTCGACCCCTTCCCTTCAGAGGATTTACATTCGCGTTGGTCCTGCTGTCGACATGCGCGTGCACGGGTGAGTAGCGTTACAAGCCCAATGGGATGTATTATAATCATTATTTCTAAGTGGAAAGCGACTATAAAAAACAATTATCTCTCTCTATTCTATTTTATTATCGTATTATATATTCGGGTAGGGTAGTTAATCAAATGTAGCCTATTCATAAAAGTCTTAAAAATATACAAAATGAAAGATCGTGTTTTTCCCCCCGTTTATTTATTTACAAATGATGACATGCCCAAAAGGAGGTTTTGTCAGATTTACGACTTCTGGGTGCAAATTTGTGATAGCTAACAAAAATGCAAACGTCGTATATGAAAACGTTCTGAAAACGTCTTTTTCTCTTGGTTATGTGAACGTGAAGGGAAATTCCATTTCATCATTCTTCAAACAAGTACCATAACTTCCAACTAACGCGTTTCAGGAAAAAAACGCAATAGCCTAAATAAAGTTTTTTTTTTTGTGCCAATGTTTTGAAAACATTGAACGTCAACATTACCGGAAGAACGTTTGTTCATTACTTTGAGAGACTTATAAGGAAATTGAGATAAAGTCAATATTATGAAATTATTGTTTATAATTATATTAAAGATTCATAATTATGACATAAAAAACATAAATATGACATAACACATTGACATTATGACATAAAAAGCTATGACATACTAAGTGACATGCTTATCCATAATTATGACATTTAAAACATAAATATGACGTACGAAAGTGATAATATTGGATAAAAAGTCAAAATAGGACAAAACTTATAATGAAATTTAGATAAAGTCGACATTATGACATATAAAACATAAATGACATAAAAAGTCATAATTATGCCATAAAAAGCAGACATTATGACATAAAAACCATACATATGACATAAAAAAATGATAATTATGAGATGAAAAGTCAAAATTATGACAAAAATTCATTAAAAAACATGGAAAAAGCAATGTATAAATGAAGTTTTTGTGCTAAGATTTTTAAAACACTGAACGAACGTTCTATTAGTTTTTCTCAGTTGCTTTGGTACATTTCTCGAATCACTCTCGACATTTGTAAAACAGAAAGTGCATTTCTCAAAACAATCCGTACACATAGCAAAACATTTCTCTCAGAAGTGAATATCTGTCAGTGAACATATCATCAGAATGACCTTGTGTCGTCGTGTACGGATAAGACTTGGTCAAAGTAGTGTTGTCAGTATAACGGTGTACTCTGGAGATGTTCTGACGTAAACTATGGCTAAAGTTTTGATGACCATTATTGTAAATTGTAGGTTACACACCTTAGTGTGTGTGGGAGTTTGATTGCAAGAGACTGGACAAGATTCACATTTACGCTTTTACTGTAATCTGGAGCTCATTACAGTAGGACAGTAATTGAGATGATGATGATGTTGTTATTGCCTGCACACACAGACTGCGCTGAACACAACGTCACGGCCCAGGCTGGAGGAGCGGCGGTTCTGCCCTGCACGTGTCCACCGGGCCAGCCTCCACATCTGGTCTGGCAGAAGGCCGTCGGTGAGCAGATGCTCGTGGTCAATAACTATAGAGGAGAAGACGACAAAGACGATCGAGTGGAAGAGTATCGTGACCGAACAGAGCTGACGCTGACAGAAAACTGTTCTCTGAAGATCCTCAGAGTGACTCCATCAGACCAGGGACTGTACCAGTGCTACTATCAGATAGGACCCGTGAGACACGACGACATCTATCTGCAGGTCACAGGTCAGTGCAGTGCGTTTGGTTACACTGAGGAACAATCAGGGTTATTATTGATAACTAACAACACTACAACAACTTAAAAAACATTTTTGTAACTAATAAAATAAGTCATTTTCGTTTAGTTTAACTCACTAAAGCACTAAATTAACAAAAATGAAACTAAAATATGTTTTTTAGCAACCATATAGACATATATATACACGATAAAATCATACAAATAAAATAAAAGTGAAAATTATACAGGGTTATTATTGATAACTAACACTAAAACAACTTAAAAAACATTTTTTTGACTAATAAAATAAGTCATTTTCGTTTAGTTTAACTCACTAAAGCACTAAATTAACAAAAATTAAACTAAAATATGTTTTTTAACAACCATATAGACATATAGACACGGTAAAATCATAGGCCTACAAATAAAATAAAAGTGAAAATTATACAGGGTTATTATTGATAACTAACAACACTAAAACAACTTAAAAAACATTTTTGTGACTAATAAAATAAGTCATTTTCGTTTAGTTTAACTCACTAAAGCGCTAAATTAACAAAAATTAAACTAAAATATGTTTTTTAGCAACCATATAGACATACACGATAAAATCATACAAATAAAATAAAAGTGAAAATTATACAAACGTGTGCGTTTGGTTACATAACTTACATTGAGGAACAATCAGGATTATTATTGATAACTAACACTAAAACAACTTAAAAAACATTTTTTTTAAATAATAAAATAGGTCATTTTAGTTTAGTTTAACTCTAAAACATACAAATTAAAAAATAAAACTGAAATATATTTTTAAGAGCCATATAGACATATATACGGTAAAATCATACTAATAAAATAAAAGTGTAAATTATACAAAAAAGATAATAAAAAAAAAACAATGAACTGAATTTGCAATTTAAAAAAATGGTAATTATGGGATAAAAGAAATATGACAAAAATTTAGATAGTCATAATTATGACATAAAGAGTCGACATTATGACAAAAAAACATAAATATGACTTAAAAGTAGATGTTAAATATTAGATATGACATAAGTGAGATTAAAGACTAAATGAGATTAAGTTCATAAAATGACACACAAAAAAAGCCGAAATCAAGATAGATTAGAAAATTATGACTTATTTCCACAAAAAAAAAAAAATTCATATTCTTAATCTTATAATCTCAAATCAAATTTATTTCCAAATTGTTCATTGTTCTTTAAAACATATGAAGTCAACGCCAACATTAACCCCAAAAAGCCAAACCTAAATGGATAAATACGTTGCCATTTTGCATGAATATTATGTTATAAATATAATTTAGCCTTTTAAAGATAAATGTGAGCTCTCCATGCGCTCGATCAGGAGATGTGCCTCATTTTCACAGTTGACTTGAACGGTGTTCATTTGATCTGTTTATCAGGCTGATCCCTGGGAGCTGAAGCCATGGCTTTGCTGATAACCTTTGGCTCATATTTCATCTCACGCGACCGTATGAGTTTGTATATCAGATTACAGGGTTGCATCATGCATCAAAAGGAATGGTTTCTATAGAGGTTTAACTTTGAACAGTGCGCACAATACCAGGCCTAAAAAGTTTATCAACAACACCTTTGTATTATTATTCCAACACATATTATGCAATGAACTTTGGCTGTTTCTGTAGCTGATCGAGGTTCAGAGTTTGGCGTGTTTATCATCAACACTCTTGCTGTTTCTTTAGAAACACAACCAACTACAGAAAAGATTTGGACGGTCCAGAAAACTGTGGTGACGTCTTCAGTTTGCGGGCTTGTTGTCATCGTGATCATCACAGCGGCTGCTGCAGTTTATGTGGGAATTTCTCGCAAAAATA